GATCCCCAAAAGTTATAAAAATGATTTTAAAAAAATTTCAAAATTTGAACGTTTTGACTTTTTTTATTCATTTTTCATCCATTTTCGATCAAAATTCGAAATTGTCGCTCTTTTTATATGTTTTTGCTGAGCTCTTTTACCTAAAAACTGTGTAAAATGCTATAGAAGCTGTTTGTTCTTAAAATGCTATACAGAATTTCTGGGGGAAATTAGTTTCCCCGCTATCCCACCCCCCGTTAGCAGAGAAGAACCAGAAAAACTTACTCTCAACATTCCACATCGTCAACGACATCAAGAAGACAAACTCAAATTGTGTGACTTTTAGGTTGAGATATGGGCGTGCCACCTCTTCGAATAGCTGCTCAACAACTGGAGCCACCGAGCTGGAAAAAAGATCGATTGCAGAGCTAAAAATTGCGAATACCTGCACAGCTCTTGATAATCGAGGGTACTGACTGCGGATGTGTCGAATACCGTATCCCGTGTGATACAGTGATCTTTTGTCGTGTAGCATTTCTGAGGTAATAGGTAAAATTGGCTTTTCGATGGCGCACCCTTTTCGTGACTGCCTCCTCACCAAAGGCATCAATGGAAATTGAGATTCTGTCGAGGCGAGTGCGGGAGGACCACGTGTTTTTGAGGATGAGTCTCTGAAACGTGAGTTTAAATTGTCAAATTGGGATAAAAAGCTCTACGCCTGGCACCTCTGTGCACACTTACCTAGTGCGCTGATTGCAGCGTCTCATTTTTATAAGCTTCCGGTGCTTTTGCATTATCGGGGGGGGACAGGGTCAATTTTTCTTAAAAGCCCCCGAGTAGCGTAATATAAGGTTTTGTTAAAACTTAGCTAAATTGAAGCGGAAAAATATCTAAAAAACTGGGGAAATTTTGATTTTTTTTTGGAAAAATCCTACCCTATAAGCGAGAAAAGTATGTTTGTTTTCTGCACGGGCGTTTTCTCGGCCGCCAGGCCGAATTTCAGGCTGTTCTATATTTTCCAATTTTGTTCATGAAATTTCTGGATCTTTCACATCTAGGGATAGTTTTACAAAATCCACCTTAAATCAAAACGCCACCCATAAACTTTAAAATTTTTGTGGTTTTGGTCGAAAATCGGCGAAAATTCCGAAAACCTAATCGAGAATGTGATATTTTTACATTTTTTTAAGTAAAAATGTGTAAAGCTTTTACGTTTAAGAATAGTAAAAATTGTTTGCCGCTTTTTATATTAGAAAAATTAGAGCGCCCAAAGAAAAAGGTTGCCCTCCCCTGATAATGCCAAAGCACCAAGTTACCTTCTGATCGAGGTCCAACTGCGCGAACTCATCGCAATGCATCATCCACTTTGCCCAGCCTTCCATCATTCTCTCCCAATATCGATGGAATCCGTTGGGGAGGGTGATTTGTGTCATCACCGTCGGATTGGGGTTGATGTTGGTGCGCAACTTTTGCGTCGCGATCAACATCTTCTGGAGAGCCGTCAAGTGGAATGGGGTATCCAGGGAGGGCGGCTTCTGAAAGGAATTTAATTCCGGAAAGTTGTATAATAGATCCAGTTTCCATAGATTTCGCACTCGTTACTTTTCGGGGGTTCTTCTCTGTTAACGGGGGGGGGGAATGGAACCTATGTTTTCCAATAACGGCTCTATACCGAAATATAAACAATTTTTATAGGATTTTGCATAGTTTCTCTACAGAAAAATTCTAAATTCATAAAAACATTTTTTAATTATCGGTTTTTTGCAACATAATTTTTTTAACGACTAAAACACTATGAAAATACATTAAATATTATTTACAGGTAAAGGCTAAAAAAATAATATAAAATTACCTGCCCCACCCTACCCCCGTTAACAGAGAAGAACCTTTTTCGGCTCATGCCTGTTTTGCCCTGTTTAAAATGTCAAATTTTCATTTTTTAAGAATTAAAAAACTAAAAACCATACTGCGTTCAAAATCTCCTCAACTCGCTTGGTCCTTCGATCCACTTCCGCGCAGGTTTTAGCCTTAACTTCCGGTGGGTCCTAAAAAAGGAAGTTTTCCATAAACCATTCTTCACCTCTTTTGCATAGTAGGGCGTGGAGTGCTTCTCCGGGGTTCCGGAAGTCTCCGGTAATTCCGGGGGCTTCTCCGGCCTTGTTTGATCCTTTTGTGGGCGCATTTTTGGGGGCGCTGGCGCCGTTTCCTTGTCGTATTGCACGTCTATCGGAATAGTTTAAAATTCCAAAAAAAAAGCATTTTTTTCGGTACTAGGCTATTAGCGGGGGGGAGGAACCAATTTTACCAGTAATCCCGTATTCTTAAAATATAAGCGATTTTTTATTGCAATTTAAACAGGTTTTAGAAACAAAAACTCTTAAAAATTTAAAAGAATTCTAAAATTTTTACGTTTTCGCAGCAAAAATATCAAAATTGACCAAAAAGGTCGACGTCTTCGAATTTTCAAAATTTGAGAAGATCTTTATCACTTTCTAAAAATTTCACCCCGGCTAAGAGTCTAGTACCGCACTTCCTTACTTTCAGGCGTCATCCCCAACCGGATACACTTTTCCAGCCGACAGCCACGGCAGAGGTATCGAGTATCTAACGATAAAGAAACATGTTTCTGACGCTTATTAACATACCTTTGGAAATATTACAGCGACCGGTTTGTTTCCTGCATTTGTAGTCTCGGCCAAGGACGTAGCTCCTAAATTTTTTTATGAAAGGGTCTTTGCACGGTTTTTAGATGTAAAAAGTTTTTAAAAATTTGCCAAAAACGTAGGAGAAATGTTAAAATTTTCGATTTAGGGTATTTAAAATATTTTTTATGACTTCATAGCAATCAAAAATTGCTTAAAACACTATAAAATGCAGTTTATAGTGTTAACAGGTATCTGGGGAAAGCACCAATTGGATCCCCCCGCTAACAGACTAGTACCGCAAGCGGTCACGGTAAGGTACCTTCGAAAGAACGCGGCACAAGCTCGGCAGGCGGGCACACCGAAATGGAAGCCGTGGGCGGGGCCCTCACAAATAACGCAGCCGGAATCATCCTGAAAGTAGTGGGGTGGGTTACGGTCGCCGAGAAGAGACGGGAGATATGATTTCAGGGGAGTGGCTTACAGGCAAAAAGCTGACGCTGGGCCCGTGGGTCGATTTGTTCATATTTTGGAGATCCCGTCAAACGTCGGCAGCTATAAAAATCTTGAAATTGAAAACTTAAACTGGGAAAACCCGAACTTACATCAATAGAGTATTTACGATAGGTTTAACTAACCGTAGATCTAGTTTTTTTGAGGGAAAAGGCCTGCGAAACGAGCGGAAAAATCGTTTCATTTTACCCGTAAGCCCAGAAATGCCTAGTAACCTATTAATCAGTGTTTCGATAGTGTTTTTAATACAATTTCATGACATTTTAAACGGAAAATTTATTTAAAGAACTTAGACTTAAAAGGTTAAGTTATTGCTAGAAAATCGGGCAATTTTGTTCAAAAAAAATCGATATTTTTGTAACTTTTAATCAAATTTGTAAAGTTTTTACGTTCAGGATTATTAAAAACTGCTTAGAAACACTTCCACTATTCATATTAGCAAATTTGAACCTAAGGAAAAATTGGAAAAAGCGGACGATGACAAGGCATGTCCCCTCTGACTGTTTGCGCTCGAGTTCTGACTTGTGTCCTGTTTCTCGTGGTGGCTTTGCACCGACGGAGAGAAAATGCTTATTTCAAAGAAGATAGTAAAGCGAAAATCAATGATTTTTGATAGCTAAATCTGGTGGTGACCTTTCGAGGAAAGTTAGAAATTTTGCATAGATTTAGCTGATAACGCTAAAAGGTGATTTTAGAAGTATTTTTACTGATTGCTACGTGAAAATAGCGTAATCGATGTTGGTGAAACACGATGCTCTATTATACAGTTTTACTTATATAAATTCGTTTTAGGCATAAGTCCATTAAATTATAGAAAACTTTAAAATAGATTTTTTAAGCTAAACGCATATTTGTTAAATTTTCAGAAAGATTCAATTGTGATCGTGAAAATAACATAAATCGCTTTTAGCGAGAAAAAGCAGAAACTTTTGAAATGCGTAGCGAAAAGCTGTACTGAAATCACTAATGCTGGCACGCGGGACAGCGATGACTCAAAATGCATGTCGAAAGGGAAAGGTACACGCAAAATGGGGGACTGATCTCCCGGTCTCGGCCGACAAATAATGGGTCTCTCTGTTGCTGAGCCGGCCGATCACAAAATCGACCGGGAGTGGGCACACGCGGATAGAGTAGAAATTCGGGAATGATCGGGTACGATTTCCGCTCCCAATTTGGAACTGCACTAAAAAAATAACTTCTTGGGATGCGAGTAAGTTAAAGGGCCTTGGAAGTCAAAATTTGTGTGCACGGGGATTGAAACTGGTCAAAAACGAAAGCATGACTGCCAGGAAGGCTCAAAAAAAATAATTTCGTTGACGTAATACCTTTTGAGTAAAACGTAAAAGCTCTTGGGCGAAAACGCTGTTTCGAGTTTTGCATAAAACACAATTTGCCATCAAATTCCATTTGAAGTGTCGGGAGATGTGCTATTTCGGTACTGTCATTGTGAACTTTTCATTTGCATCGCCCGACATAAGGTGCGAGCTACAGGGCTTTTGCCAAAACTATCCAGTGTAAAAATGTGTAAATTTATCGACTCGAACGATTGAGGCAATATTTATTCGGCACCAAATAGGAATGTTTTAAACTCGGCATTATCTGGAGATTCCCAGAATTTAGCGTATTCGGGCGGCGCAATGCTGATGGATGGGCTCGACAGAGAAAAACTGGCGATCATCACCTTGCCATCGTTCCGGCGGATGCGATAATAAGTGTTGTCCCCCTTCGCTACGTAGAGTTTGGGATGTCGCGTAAAGAAGACCGGGTGGATGGGGTTCAATTCCGTTCGGTAATTCTCTAGCTCTATATGAGGGCTAATCTGCCGCTCGCCGGCGAGCCATTCCCGGGTTAGTGCTTCGGCATGGGCCGCCATAGATTCGCCGGAGTCCATGGGCGCTTTAAGCCTCATCTGTGGCACCTGCAGATGAATGTATTCCGATAGGGGTGCGCAGAGTGTGGCCGACATAGAATCCGTCGACGCATTCAGCCAATCTATCAATTCTCTCGATGGTCGAAATTTTTGAGGAGTATAGACAGATTCATATTTCCCGAACAACGGCTTATGACGTTTGAGATACGGCAATATATCGTAAGGTTCGGAACTGTTCAGGTTAAGATACAGCTCCCGGGAACGAATATTGATTTCTTGATGAGGGAGCGTGTCGGGGTTCAACCCGTCAACAGTCGAATTATGGAAAAGCAACTGCATGGCTTTGTAGTTTATGGTCAGGAGTCGAGGACTAGGGAATCGCCGGAGCTTGAAGTCTCCTTTTTTCGTGCCACGCACAATATCGCATTCCCACCGTTTGTCACGGCAACTCTTAGCCAGCTGTAGCATCGATTTGCTGGAAATGGCTGTTTTGAAGAAGCTCTGCAAATCCATGTAGCGCAGGATTTCGAATTGATTTTCGAGTGGGAGCGCACCGAACTCGAATGGCATCTGAAAATGGAGGGTATGCTTTTTGGCGTAAATAAATATAACAAAAACGGCGATCTGGAATATTTCAGTGATAGCGGTAGAGAAGCAGTTAGGGAGTTAGAGAGCGCGAAAGAGACCGGGTGGTAAACATAGGATAACGGAGGGATAACGGGGCGGGGGGTACTCATTATTGTAAAATTTTCAATTGCGCTATTGCCATTCGATAGAGCGTCGAAAAATATACTAAGGGAATGAATCTCAGCCCAAAATAATGTATTGGAAATTTTTATCGAACAAACAAGGATCGATAAAAGCTATGGGCAGCACCTAGGCTAACGGAGGAAATCCACATTTTTAGATTCTCGATATTTTGAAAACGGTAATCGATAGAAAGTCAAAAATATACTAGGAGATTTTTTGTAACGCGAAAAAATGTACTATAAAAGTTTTATCTAAAAACTATCTTTGAAAACTATGGGCAGGACATAGGATAACGGGGGGCAGGGGGGACTGTTTGAACATTTTCAATATTTTGAAAATGCCATTCGATAGAAGGCCGAAAAATATACTAATAAAGAAAAGAAACAATGGTAAATCGCAATGAAAAGCGTAGATAAAGTCACAAGTGGAACTCAAAGAGAGGGGGGCGTTAAGGAAAACTAGGAAATAAATAAGGAACCGAAACTAAGAAGTGTCTAAATGAATATCGTTAGAATCATCAGATGAATCCGAATCCTTATCTTGTAGTCCGTAGTAGGCTCTGCTGAAATTGCATCTGCGTCAGGTTGACATTAATGACAGCGGAGGGACGGCATATCTGCCTGACCTCCGGCATGCTTAGCGTTTAAAACTCAAAGAATGCCAATAACAAAGCTAAGAACTAATATGATATCGAACTGCAGCCGCGAACTTCCCTGCGGGCGCAAGGGTTTTATTGAAATGGAATACGGTAGTTCGATGAGGCATCACTTGCTTAAAGGGGTCAGGAAGGGACAGCGCCGGGGTTATGGCCCCTTGCCTGTAGGTGTCTAAAGGGGGCTCGGAAGTCAAAGTTTGCGTGTTTGGGGATCGAACCTACTCGTCAAAAACGAATGGATTGCCGCCGAAACGTGCCACAAAATTAACTTCGTTGCGGAAAAACGTAAAATATTTGAGAAAAACTGAAATGTTTTGGGGGCGAAAACTACATTTAAAGTGCGCGGCGATTACATGTCGTAATCCTTTGTAGGGGACCCAATCCCTCAATCTCGCCACAGCGGCCCGGCTTCTAATCAACCTTCCGGCATTTTCGTATCGAGGATAGACAGCCGCGCGCGCGATTACGAAAGCAGGCCCCGACAGCTAAAAACCTTTTGCTATTGCGCGCTCCAGGCCAAAAATAGGTACAGTACGCCTTTTCCCGGTGGCCATCTGGATCGAACCCATGGCCGGTTGTGCTAGGTGATCCTCTAATCAATTTTCATAATTAAAAAGTCTGGAAGGAATCCTTTATTTAGTTCCATGAATGAATGAATCAATTGTTTTCACCCGTTGGTGAAAACCGTTCAAGCCAGAACGTCCTAAGCAATGGGCTGTAACTCGGCCTTGCAGTGTCCAATTTTGATTATCTCAAAATCGATCAAGGGGGCGGGGGGAGGATAAACTGGAGTCTAATCATAAAATATCACCTCCTGAGATGCGCGTTGGTTAAAGGGGCTTGGAAGTAAAAATGTGTGTACGCGGGGATTACAACTGGTCAAAAAACCAAAGGGTGACTGCCGAGAAGACCCAGAAAAGTGATTTCGTTGCTAAAAAAACGTAAGACCTTTGAGTAACGCCGAATAGTTCTTGGGGGCGAAAACGCCGTTTCGAGTTTCGCATAAAATACAATTTTCCATAAAAACTCGTTTGAAGTGCCTGGAGCTCTATTTCGGTTCTGTCACTGTTATCTGTTCATTTTCATCGTCCGATATAAGGTGCGAGCTACTGGGCTTTTGCGAAAATTATCCAATGCAAAAATGTGTAAATTTATCGGCTCGAGCGATTGAGGCAATATTTATTCGGCACCGAATAGGAATTTGTAAAACTCGGCATTATCTGGAGATTCCCAGAATTTAGCGTATTCGGGCGGCGCAATGCTGATGGACCACCTCGACAGAGAAAATCTGGCAATCATCACCTTGCCATCGTTCCGGCGGACGCGATAATAAGTGGTGTCCCCCTTCGCGACGTAGAGTTTCGGATGTCGCGTAAAGAAGATCGGGTGGATGGGGTTCAATTCCGTATCGAAACTCCTAAGCTCTATAAGCGGGCTAATCTGCCGTTCGCCACGGAGCCATTCTCGGATCAACACTTCAGTATTGGCCGCCAGAGATTCGCCGGAGTCCATGGGCGCATCAAGGATCATCCCAGTCACCTTCAGATGAATATATGCCGATAGGGGTGCGCAGAGTGTGGCCGACACACTATCCGTCGATGCATTCAGAAAATCCAGCGTTTCTCTGGAGGGTGGAAATTGTCGAAGAGCAGAGACCCATTTATATTTCCCGAACAACGGCTTATGACGTTTGAGATACGGCAATATATCGTAAGGTTCGGATCTGTTCAGATTCAGC